TGGAGTGCAGTGGTGGGATCTTGGCTCACTGCAACCCCCGCCTCCCAGGTTCAGGCAATTCTCCTGCCTCAGCCTCCTGAGTAGCTGGGATTACAGACATGTGCCACCACACCCAGCTAATTTTTGTATTTTTAGTAGAGATGAGGTTTCACCATGTTGGTCAGGCTGGTCTCAAACTCCTGACCTTGTGATCCACCCGCCTCGGCTTCTCAAGGTATTGGGATTACAGGCGTGAGCCACCATGCCAGACCCTTCCCCATTTTGTAGGCAAAAATGAAAGCACTTTGTCCTCTTGAGGAAAACAATTCTCTAATGAATATTCTATGTTACATAGAGGCCTATGTAATATATTTGCATGGCCACATGGTGTCAATTTCATGGATATACAATAATATTATTAATTCCCTGCTGAGGACATTAACTGGTTTCCAAGGCTGCTTGTTGTTTTTGCTACTACAAATAATGCATTGATGATAAATACTTTCACATGCATGCTTGTATGTTTATCTGAACTATTTTTACCAATTTATATTCATCTGGTGTGGATGGGAGTGTCCATTTTTGGCCTACCCCTGATAACCGTATGTTATTATTTTTAAACATTTTGGTAATGGATCTCAGTGTTCTCGTTTGAATTTATTTAATTTCTAGCAGAATGAGCCCCATGCCCTGTTTTCATTGGTCACTTATTATGTACATATGGTGAAATGTCTACTCGTGACCTAGCCAGTGTTGTTTCTGTTCCCTACTGATTACTACAGTACATTTTTAAATGAAAGCAGCCTTTGTTCCCTTCCCTTTTTTTTTCAGTTCTGTGTTAGAAGCAAGTAGCTCACATATTCACAAACTGACTTTTCCCATTGGTCTAGGGCAGTGGTGTTCAACCAGGGGTAATTTTGCCCCCCAGGGAACATTTGGGAATGTCTGGAGACATTTTTGTCACGGCTGGGGAAGAGGGCAGTGCTGTAGGCACGAGTGGAGGGAGGCCAGGGATGGCGCCCAACGTCTCACAGTGCCCAGGACAGCCTTGTGACACAGAATGACCTGGCTGGAAGTGTGAGCTGGGTGGAGGTAAGGAGGCCCTGCTCTCGGGTCATCGCTCCCTCTTAGGTGGAACAGAGGAGCTCCTGGTAGCTGAGTGCTGACTTCAAGCTGAGTGCTGACTTCATTATTTCCCTGCCCTTGCTTTCTGCCATGCTGGAGTGCTGCTGATTAAATTACCCTGAAATCCCCACAGGACACGTTACTTCCTCACAGGTCTCTACCAGCCCAGAGCTGCCTTCAGGAATGGCATTATTACTTTGCCACTGCGTCCTCACCACACTCCTGGACTCCACCAGATGCAGACACCCTCCTGTCTGCAGGAGGATCTGGAGGGGTAGACACACTTCCCCTCCAAGACAGACTGGCTCTCCCCAGCACCTCGCCAGCAGTTCTTTGAATGGAGTGACTTCGGAGGTAGGGGTTGGGGAAGAAATGTGGGCCTGTTATTACAGATTCTATTTAGAAAACTAGTTCTTCTATGAAAAAGGTATCACATAAGTGAATAGCAGCAATAAAAACAAAGAAGACAGTGGGGCTGTGAGAAGCTTTCCCCACCTCTGGCGTGTTAGTCTGTTGCTTTTTGGGCAAGGCTCTTCCAGCGTGCGACCTTTTACATGTGCTCACTGCGTGAGGGCTGTTTTGTATAGAGGCATTCCTGCTTTGAGCATGTATCTGCGACATACCTTATCCAGTCCGCTGTCACAGAGCAAAGTGGAGCACGTGGTTGACGCTGGTCTGCACCTGAGCTGGGAGCCAAGTGGGGATGAGTATACAGACCAACTCCCCAGAACCTCCTCAGTGACCTGCCTAGGTATGACTCAATTAGTTCTTGATGTTGGAGTTGAACTGCTGGACTGTCTGTAAAATCCAAGTGCAGCCTTTAATACTGTAGTGAAGAAAACCACTTGCCAGTTACAACCCATGAGCAAAGCAGTTAAATATTCAAATATTTTACCAAGACTCCAGGTGTATATTTTCTCAGGACTGCACATTCTATGAGACCAGAGGGACCAAGACATCACTACTAGAAATGTGTGGTTTATTACCACTTCCAGAGTTTTTGATAGGGGAGTTAATTCTTGGAATCTTGAAATTCATGTTTTTTTCTTAATGCAATGTGGGGTATTTAAGCTTCTGATCACTGCACACCCAGATTATCCCAAAATCAAAAGTGATGTTGGCAGCTGGATGTGT